TTTATGTTAACCTTTCTAATTAAAGCAGCATACTCATCTGTTTAAGAAAAAAACAGTGAAAGATAAGAAGGTGTGACTGCCTGTATCCGGGAAGTTTTCTTGACTACTTTGTGTTGACTACTTTCATGTATGGGTTTTCTTAAAATATTGCAAGTTGTTTAACATTTTAACTCCCTTCTAACACTAGTAAGAATGAGCTGGAGGAAGAACTTCACGTGCTTCTCCAGCATCAGTGTATAGCTGTGAGGCAGGAATTATATGTAATTTTCCAAGTAAAATTGCCTCTGAAATACATGAAGGGAATTTTTTTTGTTTAAATAGTTGTATTGATACTGTTCACAGCTGAGTTGCGGAACCAAATAGATGAGCTTTTGATTTGTTTTCAGATGATCTCATATATTCTGGAGATTATAATCTGAAGGGTGGCTGCCATAGTAATGTGCCAGTCACCATGGCATCTGAACATCATGAAAAGAAATTCTGGGCTGCAGAAAAACAATGCTGCCAATTAGTATTTCAAACCGATCAAAGGTGGGGGACCAAAAAGTTTGCCAATAAATGTAGCTCAGTGGATGGCACCAGAAGTTAGAGTTTGCTTTACACAAGTTTATAAAGATTTCAGTCCTCCTATCAATATCAAGTGAATTTATAAATAAAAACCTTAACACAGACTCATCCATTTACTATGCTAACTTTTTTCGGTTGCATGAAGAGCATGGCTGTAGGTTTTTATTTCGCTGGCTTAGTGAAGCAGCAGTTTATGGTTCTGCTTTATACGAATCTTTAGAACTTTTTCCTCATTACAGGATATTTAACTTGAATCTGAAATGAAGTCAGTTAATGAAGAAAGGGGGTTTTCTGTACTCAGTTGGTAAATATTCCTAGTCTCTAAAACATTTTGCAGTCTGCTTTCGTAATACTATTCTAATTATCAAGCAAATCTAAAATTAAATTGTTTAAAAGCAAGCTTATTTTATTTTAGATAATCGATTGTGGCTTGTTGTTTGAAAGAAGACTACTTTGGCATGAATTCCAAATCCAGTTATGATCTTAACTCAAGCAGTTTGTTTAATCAAACATTACTCTAATAAGTCTTAGATGGTCCCCTACCCGACCAGGCCTGTCTATAACAACTAGTTTATTCTGCGGCGAGTTGCTCAACAGATGTCATTCTGGTAGAATAATGCAGCAGAATACTTGTGCGTTGGCTAAAATTGCTTCAACTTTGATCACTTTTGTCCAGCACATCAGTCTGGCATTGTGCTTTATACCAACATAACACTTTACCCCGAGCATGCCTTTCAAGCTTAGAACAGCAGAGGAATGTTATTGAATTCAGGGCAGTTACAGATGAGTTAATGAAAAAAGGGAAATACTGTTTTTTTCATAATGCCTTTCTGTTGTACTTTGGAATTAAAAGGGAATTTGAGGAATGTGACTTCTGAGTTATTTATTTTTGCTGCTGAATACTTTTTGAAAACAATATTATGTAGTTCCATTGATCCCACATTTCTGTAAATAAGTTTCACTTGCTATTTCAAAATAGCTCATTTTAGAGTTTTATATTGTGAAAATAATGTTAGTGAGACTCTTTTGATATGTAACTGGAGAACAGTGCTCTCACAGGCGCAGTTTATCCCAGTATTTAAAGCAGGAAAACTAAAATAGCAAGAACTGTGTTCTTGTGATCACGGATCAGTATTGTCACATTTTGATGCGCTGTTGTGGGGTCAGTTTGGAGTAATGACATCTCTTTACCTTGATACTACTGCGAAACGAATACTGCACAGCAGGCTACCTTCTTGTTAAGAAGCAGTGAAGAAAGGCTGTTTGTTTTGAACAGTAGGAATGAGATCATATACCCAGTTCTATAGAGTTCAGTCTTCTGTAATTTCATTTTTCACAGGTGCATGTGTGTATACATATGCACATATATATAAGAATATAACATACATGTGTGTACTTGAATTTAAGAAAGTTTTTAATAATTAAGGTATGTTTGTGTATTTCAAAGCAGGACGACATGCTTAAATATGAGGAAGCACTAATATGAAGTCCACTTTAATTACTGGTAAATGCTTCAGTGTTCTGTATCTAAAATAAAGCAGTGTTCTTGTTGAAGCTTTTTAAATTAAAATGTAGTTGTAAATTTTTTAAATTGAAACATAGTAAACAGATCAGTCCCCATGCAAAAACTCCTGATAACCTTTACGTTAATATTGGTATTGTTAGGGAGAACAAAACCAATATTAACGTAAAGGTCATCAGATGTACATGTGACTTGCCAGCTTTACAAAAAAGTGAGAGATATCTTAATGATTCTAAAACCTACAATGAATGTAAAGCTGAGCTGAGAATCCAACCCAGATACATGTTAAGATACTGAAATGTCCAGAGAAGTAACCAACACGATCTGACTTTCATCTTTTAGTCAGATGTAGACTCAAGAGTTGGAAGTAATATATCTTGCAGTTAGGTAATACATTGAAGCCATTGTTTTCCACTCATCTGTGCAGAATATTTATATTTATAAAGCTTTAAACTGATCGTATTAAAATTATTATCCGCATAGCCTACATATTAAATCTCTCCAGAAATGTGAGACAGTTCACAGTTTTAACTAGGGGGCACTTTATTTGTGTGAAACACTACTGCCACTACTACTACTAAAAGTAGTGAGAATGAGCAACAGTAATTGAATGGAGGATCTGAGAACAGAAAATACAGCAAGAGTGCTGTACTTTGCACTTGCTCTCTATATGCCCTGAATTCTCTCAGTCAGATTTATCTGTTGGCAAACTTGTGCAGCAGTGCCATGAGGGGTCTTTCGAAGAATGTTGCCCAAATCAACATTTGTGAGCAAGCGTATGTGTGGAAATCCCTGCCTCCTCCCTCAGCCCCCCTTAGGATATTTACGATGATTAGAGCAGTTCTTTTACCGCTTAATGCCTACACATGTATCTTTCATCCATGTATTAATGTGCTTGAACTGTGTGCAAAATTTGAAAGGAAGGGTCCATGCAGCATTTATCTCTAAAGATGATCCAGAGCAAAAGAGTTTTGGTGCGATTTCATTACGCAAACACGTTTCTAGATGAATATCTACTGCCAGATGTTGCATATACATTCTGTACTAGAAGTAAATGACAAATTTTGAGGAAGCGTACGCACATTCCATGTGTTTATATTACCATATTACCTTACTATATATTCACACCTCAACCATATTTCAGTGATGAAGCTATGGCAAGTACTGATTAATAGGTAGGGTCAAATTATATAAAATGTCTCTATAGTGGTTTGCTTTGTTTTATGGCATTATGTCCCTAAGAGTGGTAGTTTACAATCATCTTTCATTCATTTCTTGAGTATGAAACCTTAAATATATGGATTATGCTAGTATTTCTCATTTTGAAAAATGTCAGTTTTCTTCCTTTTTGTTTTTAACCATTTTTCTGTTCAGAGAAAACTGTTAAGTGCACTAGACTGCAAACAATGTACTAGCTCAAAGACCTTTTCTGCTGACAAATATATACAGTTTTTTTTCCGTTCACAGCATTATTAGTAATATTCGTGGCAGAAGTTAGAATACAATTAATGGTTGGTTCTTTCCTGTTGACAAATGAACAAATGACAAGCTAAAGAAGGCATCAGAGGACAGGTTTTGGAGCAGTCTTGGCATTTGCTTTAAGGCAAATCTTACCCATCTGCCTTAACGTCTTTTGGTTTAATGTGTTAAACAGTTATTGTGTCTGTCAGCCTTAAACTGTACAGCCCTCTCAGGGCTGGGAGCAGGACGCAGAACTGCTGACTTCCTCAGATATTCTGTCTAGCGAAGGGTCATGTAAAATATTAATAAAATGTACCAAACCTTACTTTTATCTGTTTGAGAAAGTTTTTCTGGATGTAATATAGGTTGTTGAGATCTGTACTTGGAAACGAAAATAGACCTGTGAAGATATGGGAGGACCTTGTATTCCCATGTAGCAGTTTCATGGAGGACAAACCAAAACCCAGCATTGCTCGCTGTAAGCGTTCTGTTGTTCACAGTTCTGGTCTGGCTGGTCAAGATTTCTGTGTGCTCGTTGCTTCTGCAGTCTTTACATTCAGGTTTAAGATACTATGCCAACTTTAAGATATCACTCTCTGTCCCAAGTACAGAAATACGTATTTTTTGTGGTTTAAATAATGGCTTATCACAAAACCTGTGATAAAACATGCCAACTTTTTTATCTGTGTTAATGTTTTAGTGGAAAGAGTTTTGTAACTCTTGTATTTTGCGGCATTCTTCCTGTCTTTGAAATTTGAAACACTTTCTAATTTTCCCCTCCCTTCCTCCTGACAACCCTCATGTGAGATGATTCACAGCAGCAACTTGTGTTTTAATAGCATGAGAAAAAAATCAGTGTAAAAAAATTAGTTTATCTGCATTTCACTAATAAATGTTTGAAATGTGTTGTCTTTATTGGCAATATGCTTATTGATTCCTTTTTTCATGTTTAATATACTCACTTTTATTTTTTGATCCCCTCTGAGGAACTTATGTAACACTGGTTGTATTTCTTATTGCATTAAACGTAGCAGGAACCAAAAATTTTCGTGTGAAACAGAATGCATTAACTAGCAAAACCTATAACAGAGTTTTTATTATTACATTCTCATCTCCCTGGTTTGTTCATTACTTTGTAATACTTTTTACTGTGAAAATTTGTATTATGAATTGTTTTACACATGTGTGATGCTGAACTAATAGTGGATCATTATGAATGATAATATATAGTTTTTGAATTTTTTCCTTTAACAAAGTTTGGTCAGTTGCTTTTGGCAGTACTGTGTGTAAACCTGCGGAACAGAGCTGAATCTCTGAGTGTTGGAGGAACCTGTTTTACAATAATCACAAAAAATCGAAATAAGAGACTTGGGATTGTGATGAAAAGAGTGCAATTTGCCTGTATTGCTTTTGTTAGAGCAAGTTCTGATTATTTTTGTTTTTTTACCAGGTAAAACGGAATGTGTATGACCTTACTAGTATCCCTGTCCGTCACCAGTTATGGGAAGGCTGGCCTCCTTCTGCCACAGATGACTCGGTAAGTTGGTTGGTTCTTCTTTCATTTCTTCCTACAAATAGCTGATTTTACTTGGACTTTTGGTGGGAATCATCCAATAGTTTTTATTGTCCTGTGTGCAATAACCTATCCTAACATTGTAATTCTAACATGTGGTCAGAACACATAATTCAGAGCTCTGTCGTCAAAGATACAAATACTAAAGTATTGGCTTTAGTAGCAGATACGCAATGTTTTGGAAGTTGAGGAGGTCTATTGCAGTAATTGAACTTCAGGAACAAGTCTCCTTTTTTACATGGATTCTGAGTGGATATCTAGATGTTTTCCTCAGTTATATACATCAGATCCCTGGTATTCTTAAACCTGTGTCTGGCTTTAAGCAGATGTTCCTGTTGAAATCAGTGGAGAGCTTCACTTGTGTTTAAAGTTACCTACCTTGGTTCTTGCTGGGCCAGAAGGAATGTATGGACATTTTCAAGATTACATTTTGAAATAGTAAACAATATGTACTCACTAATTTTCAAATGTATTTTGCAGGTTTTAGAATTACCGTTATTTAGAAATGGAAAGAAGTCTTAGCTGAGATCAATGTGTACCCTTGGTAACAGAATCTAAGTGTGAATTTCCTATAAATTCGTGAAATCGTGGAACTTAACTGCAGAATTCCGTTAAATATTAAGACTTGCTTCCTTGCGTGGTTGTCCCTGTAGTGTATTTTACAGCATGTCTTTTGGTTTTGCTCAGGCAGTTTTCTTCTGGTGGTGTATTCCTAATGCCAGCTAGTGAGGTCTGCCTTTACATATTTAAAAAAAACCCCAAAGCCTAAAAGGCTGAAATAGTTATGTAGTCATGTTGTATATAGACTTTGTGACCTGAGAAAAATGTAGAAAAAATAAATTTATATTTTTATAAAATCATTCGTTTAAACTAGGGGTTGAACCTGAGTTCACAAAGTGAAAATGGAATTGGGATTTGCTTCTTCTATGTCTTAACATTATCTCCAATGCATTACTTTTCTGTCTGTTTCTACTCCCTTCTTGTAAAGGGAGATTTGCTGTTTGTATGGTAAGACTGCTGCTTTTTAGCTCTGGGTAAAGGATTTATGCCAATCAAAAAAAAAAAAAAGCAAAGACTTTCTGAATTCCTAATCTACTTGTAAAATATGTCTGTGGTAGTGTTTGCGAAAACAGTAGTTAAGTTTGAGAGGGTGGGTAAATCTGTGTCCATGTATTCAGGAGCATATCTGAGACGATAGATGTAAGATCTGAAATAACAGCATGGTGTCATGTGGTAATTACAGTCTTTGAAATGTGGATCCATTTTAACATTTTATTAGTTTACATTAGCCCAAAAAAGAATTGGAAACTCAACACTTCTAATCCGTTTTCCCACAGCTGTTAGGTTTTCCTGTGGGTTTTTTCTTCCTTTCTTTTGAATGGGATACCTCACATATGTAAAACTCATAAATCTGTTTTAAATCTGTTTTTACAAGTGACATTGTTGCAGGTGAATTTTTCCCCTTTTCATCTTTAATGAAATTGGTGAATGTTGAGTCATCTGCTCCAAAGCAGGAAAGTCCTCAAAGCTCACTGCTCAGTCTGGTGCAGCTGAGACTTGTCAGCTGTGTAAACAGATTTGAATGTGTTACCAACAAAAATATAATTAATTTCTGTCTAAAATTAGAGGCCATAGCTTACTATTTATAAAGATTTAATGTTAGCAATGACTCTCTATGGTTCTGTGATCTGAACATTTTTTCCTTTGCAAGTCAGAAATACTCAGTAATAATTAGTAATAAGTCATGAAGTCTTTAGTTCAGAGGCAAATTTTTTGAATCACTTTTTCTGTCATGAGTTTTTAATTTGCTGTATTGTCTAGTACCTCGCTGCAATTAAAGAGTTAAACAAAGACTTGATTAAAATACTTTTTCATTTACATGTTATGCAGCATAAGAAATACTTTGTAATACCACAGGAGGTTTTTTCAGTGCAGTTCTCGTTAACCTTTGGCTTAGCAAACAGGACAACTAAATAGACTTCGCATAATTGGATTCCTGTATCATCTCGAGTCTCTTATGAACCTGACAGACTACAGTCTTCTGACATTATCAGGAAATTTAGTGGAGTCAATAGTCATTTAAAACATTGTTGCTTCATCTCCCTTCAGAGTTAAGATACGTTCTCTGCTCGTACTATCTAATGAAATATGGGATACTGTATGAATTGTCAATAACTCTTTCAGATCCTTCTGCACGCTTTCACCAGGGAGATGGGTATCGAGACCTCCACACGGAGGAGAATGTTTTCATGCTGTGACAGTTTGATTGTGGGAAACAAGGCATATGTAGTCTGTGGAAATCTCATGTTCACTGTCCGGCAAAGACATATTTTTAGCTTTTATTGTGCCTGAATAATTTGAACACCACAAATTATATCTGTTCTACTCATTAAAGTTTAAACAAAATAAATGTATGAGTTTTAAATCTGTTTTTTTTTAACAAGTTTACTTAAGTAAAACTTTAATTGTATTAAAAACTTATTTTATCTCATTTGGGGGTATATATTATCAACTGATATAATGAAATCTTGAAAATTATCCTAGAAAATTAAAAAATAATTAGTTTGATATAAATAGTTTCACAATTTGTTCTTAATATTTATTTTTATTTTGGATGTTGTAACAACCTTAACATTACTGAGCTTGTAAAATGAAAACGAAGCCATAATAATTTACTAACATTTCTGAAATGTATTCTGTTTCTCTTTGCTGTATTGGCTGAGCTTCTCAACTTCTACTGCTAGTTACTGCTATTGTGAAGTGGAACGAGCAACCTTCAAATATGTATGCATTAAAAAAAAAAAATAAAAAAAAAAGGAGATCAGTCGTAGGTGGAATTTTAGTTACAGTTTTTACATGGAAACACCGTGATTTCAATTATATAAGAACGGATGACTTTTTGGATATTAGCTTTACATGTGTATATTTGAGGTAAGACCTTTTTCCCCCTTGAGGTCACTGGGGTTTGATTGATTTGGACAAAAATATTTTATTTTTGTCCCTGATGTTTCTGTTCATTTTGTTAGCATAGAACAGCAACACCCAGTATGGGAAGGAGGAGAGAGGTTGCTTTTGTGCTGCTTTTGTTCTCAGTATTTAAGCTAAAACTTTTTGCTTAATTAGTTCATTGTTTTAAGTCATTTTGGCATAGCTGTGAGAGATGCCTGCTTCTTCATAAGTAACTACAGTGAGCTTGTCAAAATGGAATATATTTATGCACAAAAAATATGTAAAACTTTTAGAACAAGGTTTAGAGGGGCAAAGGGGAGAGAGACAAAGAGGATGAAGCACCCAGTGTGGTAACTGTGCCCTCGCAGACAGGTCCTGTCCAGAGGAACTTGGCATCTGTCCTTCCACCTGCTGCCGGGAACGCTTTGTTTCCCTGAACAGTGCGGTTGGTCAAGACTTCATATCCTCACTTCAAGACAAGTAACTGTACTTCTTCATTATATAGATAAGCCATTGCATGTTAGTTTAGGTAGAAGTAGGTCTATGCTGACAAGTTACCTGGCTGCGCTGCTGAAGTCACATTTCAGATGTGACGTGTGTAGCCACTAATGTGTTGAGGTTCTACATCATCCCTTGTGAACACAACCACCTTCAGTTCTGTGATGGCTGTAGCAGATGTGGTTGACGTTCCTCAGCTGAATTTAATAAAGACTTCTAGCTTATAGTCAAAATTCTCAAATGCTTATGTATGATCTAATTAGCACTGCTGTTATATTTAGCTGTTTCATTGCTAATTATTAAGCGTAGTATGTCTGCACAGATAGAAATTAAGAATGCTGATAAATAATGTTCTGGTACAAAGTCAAACCATTTATGACAGTTTTTGGCTGATCTCCAGATTTTTGAAGAGGTTGAGTATTCGGCATCTGACTAATTAGTATTTGGGAGTATATATTTCTTTCCCTTTCTGGGTCTTACAAAGGCTTTCTGAAAAGAAAGTTCATTGCTGCATGCTGTCATTGTGGTATGAGCACAAACTCTTGAGTTTTACATACACTGGCTGTTTAATTGTAATGGATGCCATGTCAGCATTTACTGGATCGTTTGGAGTTTTCCCCCTGGAATTGATAGGACTAGAGAATGAATAGTCCTAAAGTGTGTATTAATCAGAAGTGTTAAAATTGACTATATTTAGATTAAAATACATGCATCATTGGAAAATACTCAACTATTGTGGTTGAGTTGAAACTGTGGTTTTCATCAATCACTTGCAGTAGAGTTAGATATTTAGAAGAATACTTGCAGTCTGTTTTGTCATGTGGGTTCAGGAACAGAGTGAAGTTTTAATTTAACGGTTATACAATAATCCCAATTTAGTAGTGAAAATTGTTAGACTGTACCGTCTTGGAAGTTCATGCTAATCTATGAAGCAGCACATTCATCATCATTGAGAAACAGAAAAGTAACTAAGCAATTTTATAAACAGTTCCTAAATGTCTTTATTTTAGATAGTCTTGTGACTTTGAATTATGGCCTGCTTGGATGTTCTTATGTGGATGAAAGTATGATAAATTACCGTGTTCTTTCCTGAGAATAACGAAGGAGTTTACAGTTGTTCCTTCACAATTCTGTTTTTACTCCACCCTCTCATCTATTTTCTATTTATAAAAATTAAGATAAAGTGATTGGAATTTGTTTCATTTCTGTAAAAATTACCATGTCAGAGATAATCAGCTTATGTTTGTATTTTTTTGTCACAAGAGAATTTACTTAGGATTGTTCAATTTTAAAGCATATAATAACTCAATTGCACCTATCATGTTGCTTTTGGGAAGGGTTTATTTCCTCACTGCCTGATAATAAGTCTTACAGAAGTGCAAGAAGTGCACACTGAAGAAAAAACCTCATTGTATCATTATATTAAAAATACATGTCAGTCTAGCAGCTATGATTAAAAAAAAAAAAATCAAACAAAACAACAGAACAAAACCAACAAAACCCCACCTTTCAGTTTT